GACCTACCACCCCCGCCTCCCGGGCCCGACCTCGGCAGCGCCCCTCGCCTCGGCTGCCAGCGCCACCCGCCCTCCCGGATCAGGGAGCGGAGCGCGGGGCGCAGAGACACCGGAGCCAGTGTCCGCCGGCCCCGCCAAGCAAACCGGGCCGGGAGAACCTTCGCTCGGCCCAGCGCGGCTCAACAGCCGTCCGGGAGCTGTCCCTTCAGCACCGCCGCGGAAGCCCGAGTCCCAGCGCAGCCCCTCGGAACCCCTGACCCAGGGCGAGCGCATCAGGCGCTGCGCTCAGCGGCCGCCCGGCGGGGCAGCACCCAGGTGCCCCAGCCCAGGGGACCCGCCATCTCCTCCGGGAGGCGGGGAGAAGGAACGAGGAGGGCGGGCGGGCAGCTGCACCCGCCACAGAGGGGAATAGACAGCCAGGCAAGGAGAGCCGAAGGGGACCGGCCGCACAGGGAGGAGAGCAGCCTGCATCCGTGCCCACCGCACCGGGAGCGCGCTGCGGCGACCACCGCAGAGCCGAGCGCGGATTTCCCGCCCCCCCACCTTCCCCTGCTAGGGTTGGTCTATTGGTCCGGCCCCCGGAACGGAGCAGCTGACCTTCCCCTAAAAAGCTTTGTGTCGGTTTCTCCATTTTCCCGCTGAGATGGTACCCGGAGCCCGGCCCCCCCACCCTCTCTCCCCTCCTCCCGGGGCTCGCCGCTGAGCGCCGCCCCACTCTCTCCCTCCCTCCCTCCCTCCCTCTTTCCCTCCTTCCTCTCCTCCTCTGCCTCCTCCGCAGCCAGGCCAGCTCCCTCTCACATTAGGTGCCTTAGAGACCCTTGGGAGCCCGCGCACACACCCCTGCATCCGTACCTGACGGACAGCTTCCCCTGAGGGAGCTTGGGTCGCTCGTTGGGGTGGGTGGCCAGAGCCGCGGTCCTCTGTGCCCCCCGACGGCTGGGGGGAGGGGGGAAGAGGCCCCGCGCCCCCCTCCCCGTCGCCAACTCCCCCTGGCGGCAGCTCCCATGGGTGTCGCTGGGCCGCGCCATGCCTAAGGGGGCGCCGCGATGGGCCAAGGGGACGAAAGCGAGCGCATCGTGATCAACGTGGGCGGCACGCGCCACCAGACGTACCGCTCGACGCTGCGCACGCTGCCCGGCACGAGGCTTGCCTGGCTGGCGGAGCCGGACGCCCACAGCCACTTCGACTATGACCCGCGCGCCGACGAATTCTTTTTCGACCGCCACCCGGGCGTCTTCGCTCACATCCTGAACTATTACCGCACCGGCAAGCTACACTGCCCGGCCGACGTGTGCGGTCCGCTCTACGAGGAGGAGCTGGCCTTCTGGGGCATCGACGAGACGGACGTGGAGCCCTGCTGCTGGATGACGTACCGCCAGCACCGCGACGCCGAGGAGGCACTGGACAGCTTTGGTGGCGCGCCCCTGGACAACAGCGCGGACGACGCGGATGCCGACGGCCCTGGCGACTCAGGCGACGGCGAGGACGAGCTGGAGATGACCAAGAGACTGGCACTCAGTGACTCCCCAGATGGCCGGCCTGGCGGCTTCTGGCGCCGCTGGCAGCCGCGCATCTGGGCGCTGTTCGAGGACCCCTACTCATCCCGCTATGCGCGGGTAAGTGACAGCTTCTCCATCAGCTGGACCTGACCAGGAAAGGCAGCTTTTGCCGCTTCCCGCGGGCAGGGTGCAATGGACAGTGAGTTCCCAGAGAGTTCTGAACTGAAGGGGGTGTGTGCGTGTAAGTGTGTAAGAGAGAACTTGAGTCTGTATTGCTGGTTGTTTGAGAGCATATGAATGGGTGTTTGTGTGTGTGTGTGTGTGTGTGTGTGAGTAGACTGCCATGCATATTTATGTAAGCATACTGGTGTGTATTTGGATGGGTAAAGTATGTGGGAACAAGTGAGCATATGTGTATGTTTGAATGTACATGGCACCCCACACTCCTGTTAGTGCCCAGCCGTGCCTTTGGCAGATGTACACTGTGAAGGTGTGAATTGCCCTTTGGGGAAGGAGGGGGGACTCCTTCCTTCTTCCCAGGTCAGGGAGTCTCTGGGGTAGAAAGGAGGGTGTCTTAGCCTGCTGGGAAGCCAGAGGCAGACAGCCCCTCCCCTCTCCAGGGACCTTCCTCAAGCCTTCTGAGGAGGTGGTCTTGGGAAGGCTCACGCATATTCAGAGCTTGATGATTGAGGTGGCTCTGGGCTGGGGGTGGGGCGCACAGAATGGTGACCTCTGTGACATCTGCCCTCCTGGGTCTGGGAAGAGTCCAGAGGAAGAGCTTGAGAAGGCCTTAGATTCCTGCTTCCTCTGGCCCCTGGCAAGAGGCTGGCAGGCAGGAAAAACCTTAAGGGGAAATGTACCCAGAGGAAGTGTGTGGAGTGGGCGTGTCTTCCTCAGCCACACCCCTTTAGAAACAGCAAATTGTTACTAGAGAGAAAGGACATCCTGTTGCTGACCTTGGCCCTTCAGATGGCCTCCATGGATTAGTTTCCTATGTAGAACAGCGAGGATGGTGGACCCCACAGAGAGACACCTACCCTGGAAGACAAACTCTGGGCCTTTCAGAGCTCTGTTCTCTGGCGTGAAGAGTACCAAGGATGAGAGAGAGAGAGAGAGAGAGAGAGAGAGAGAGAGAGAGAGAGAGAGAGAGAGAGAGATGGGCAGGCTACCTTTAACTGCTCCAGGTCTCTTCTCTTTGGCTGACCCGGAGGCTGAGCTGGAGCTGGGGTAGGGGGACATGAGGAGGAGCTGGAATCCACAGAAGATCAGTAGACAGATACGCGGGGGGAGGGGTCTGAGGTGCCCAGGACAGGGAAGGGCTGTACAGGCAGCCACCTGACAGATCTGATGCTAAGATAAAACAGAAAGACCCGTGGGCTGGAGACCGCAGCTCAGAAACTCACACCTCGAATCCTAGAACAGGTGCTGGGGGCAGGGATGCGGAGAGAGAGAGCACGTGGCCTCCCATGTTGCCACTCAGGATTTTGGCCAAGGTCAACCTGGAAGTTCAAGGAAAATTTGAATCAAAACCTCCTGGACCTTGCTCTCTCCTGAGATGAACAAAGGTTCAGGGTGGCCTGGGACCCTGCAGAGGAGGCCTCTCTTCTCCACCCCCACCCCACCCCCTTGATGACAGAGGCCACTACAGCTAGAGGATTATGTAACTGGACTATGCTGAGCTGTGAGGAGGGGCTGGAACGTGAGGCTGAGAGAATGAACCAGTATGGGCTGGGAGGGATGCCTGGCAGGCTCAGCCAAGGCCTGGGTTACAGCAGCCCTCCACTTACATTTGACCTTGGCCCCTGGAAGGGAGGCCAAGAAGGCCCAACTTCTCTAGGGAAGTTACAGAGGGCTGAGCCCCTCCACTCCCCACCTTGGACGCTGCCCTGATCAGTGCACCCATGTTGCAGGGCAGGTGAGGGTCAGCAGGGTCACTTGCTGTCTCCACCCACGCGGGGGCTGTGGGGTTGCATCACTCAGTGGAGACAAACACAACACCTACGTACAGGTTGTGTCGGCATAAGACCACAAGGCCGAGAAGTCGAGAAACTCTCCCCCGGAGTGTCCGCTGAAGAGCAGACGCAGGGAAAGCTGCAGTCAGAGGTGGCAGGTGGGGTGTTGGGGTACAGGTGGGTGTGAGTGGGTGCCCCACTCAGGACAGCAGTGCTGCTTTCTTCTCTGATAGCCTCACAGAGAGGATGTGGACCTTTTCATTTGCATCGGCACCACACGAGAACACTGAGACCCACAGAGGGAGGGAGCACTTAAGGCAGAGCTGGGATTAGAACCAGGCTCCTGCTGCCCGCCCGCCCGCCCGGCCAGCCTGACTGCATTGCGCTGCCTCTCTGCAGCCCTGCGCAGAGACCAGCCTGCTGCCTGCCTCCTCCCCCCTTCCCTTCCCTCTGATGCTGCCCCCCCCCCCTGCTGCTACCTTTGTTTACTCCGCCCCTCACAGCCTGGAAAAGCCTCAGATTGGTGGGTCTGGGTTTAGCATCCGATTTTTTTTTTTCTCTAGATTCTAGACCTGAATCTCACGTGTGATATAGTCTGTGTGTGTGAAATAAAAACTAGAAAAGCTTGTGCGTGAGCTTCTGTGTGGGTGTGTGAGAGACTCCTCGTGTGTAAGAATAAAACTATGGTAGGTGAGTGTGACTCTGAGGGCACACATGTGTGTTCAAGTGTGTGTGTGTGTTTGTGTGTGTGTGTTGAGAGAGTGAATATAAGAGAGATCCTTGTGTCAAAGAAATGGGATGTGAGATTGTATGTGTGTTGATAGATGGTGTGTGTGTGTGTGTGTGTGTGTGTGTGTGTGTGTAAGAGAGAGAGACTCTATGAGAGAATGTGTGTAATAAGAAAAAAAAGGGATGTTGTAAGAGAAATGTTGCATGTGAGACTCCAGGTCAGTGTATCTTGGAGATGTGTGGGCAGGTGTGGAAGTGTACGTGTGAAGCTGGGTGTATGTGTAAGCCTATGTGTGCGACACGACCTGTGCATATTCTGTGTGGCAGAGTGTGTGTGGCTGTGTGTTAAGAGGCTGTGAGGCCCCATGTGTGACAATGTGTGTTTTGTATGAGAAGGATCTTAGATGTGTGTCATTATTGCCATTAGTGCTTGTGTGGGAGAGACATTGTGTGGCTGGGGTGTACCTGGAAGAAGGTGAGAATCTGTAGGTTCCCTGCCTGCTGGCTCCATCTCCTGGGACTCCTGGGCTGTCTGACTGAAGAATATCCTTGCATGCCATACCTCAGAAGATGTATGTTCCACCCAGGCCAGTTGTGGATGTATGGGCCAGCAGGGAGGTCACTTTCCCCTAAGGAGCTATCAGGACATCGGCTGTGGAGGATGGGGGCCCCTTGGTTGGGACAGGATGTCCCACTGGAGCTATGCGGGGCAACAGTGCTGGCCGGAACAGCTAGCCCCTTGTCCTTCCAGAATGGGGGTTGGGGAGCGAGGTGAGCTGGGGCAAGCTGAGCCCCACTTGTGGTCTGGATTGTGGGGTGTTGCAGCCTCAGACACGTGGAAGGTGTGAGTGGTGGTGTAACTATGTGGATGAGGGGATGAGGGTGTCCTGGACAAGATGCCTCCTGAAGTCACACTGGGCAGGCACTGAGGTCTGAGCAGGCCTTGGCAGGCAGAGGAAGTGCAGTTCTTGTGTGAAAAGTTGCAGAGGTGTGAGAGCAGGCGTGTGAGAGCAGCTGGCTTGAGCCTGCCCCCCTCACCTCCTCGAGAGTCAGCGGAGGTCAGAGGCCTCGGGTCTTCGTCTGTGACTTACAAGTTGCCAGGAGCATTGTTCACTGTCATATCAGGGCCAGTGATGGTCTCTAGGCTGGGGGCCAAGAGTGTCCCTAACATATGCATGTGTGTGAATGTGGTGACATCAGTCCCCACTTGACCTGATGACTACCAACGACCTCAAAGCTAGGGAAGCCCCACCTCTGTGCACTCTGCTGTCCACCTGACCCCCGTCCCTCTGCCTCTCTGCCCTGTCCCTTAGTCCTTGGGAATTAATGACTACACTAACTCTTCTTAGCTCTCTGGGGAGGGAGTCACCCAGTGATTAGAGTGAAGAGCCCAGCCGAAGACAACTCTGGGAGCCCAGGCTGTGGCCTGAGGTAAAGATGGAACTATTAACAGGGACTTCTTAGCAAGCTGGCTCCTCCCCAGGACAGGGCATACTTGTCATGGTAGCATGACACCCGTAGCAGCCGCATGGCCCGCCCAGCCACTGTGCTTTACCAGGAGTCCTTGTATTTTTTTTATTGTACCTTCAAGCCCCCAAGGCCTTTCAGTAAAGAAACCACAGACTAGGTGTCTGGTAAGATGGAGTCCTTCAGCCCCATCACTGATGAAGAGAGTTGCTTGAGGACCGACCACAGAGGTTCACACAGAGCGTCTCCGAGGTGACCGTGGATGGCCACAGGCACGCAGGAGACAGTCGGGAACTTCGGCTGCTGTTGTGGCTTGTCTTATCATCTTGCTGGTGTTTCTGCTGTGGCTCTGCCCTGTTGTCTCACCTCACAGCCGTCTCCCAACTTCATCTTCTCCGCTATCATTGTGCCTACTTCAAACCACCGTGGTTCCCTCACGCCCACCTCTCCAGCAGCTTTGCGAATTTTCCCCGACTCTAGTCCCGGGTCCTTCCAGTCCATTTTTCCACTTGGCAAACACAAAGGCCCCTTGACCTGAAAAACTGGCCAGGTCATCAAAGCCTGCAGGACTTCCCAGGCTCATCCTGGGGCCTCTTGGGTCCAGCCTGACTCTCCAATGTGCTCTTGCCTGGATTTAGTCACCGATAACTGAAGGATCGTCCGACCTGGCTTAGTTGCTTACAGTTGCAAGTGTCCCATTCCCCCAGGAGGACTCTTTCTTCCTAGCTCTCTCCCCTCCTTTATTCTTCACACCCACCTAAAAAGCAGTTCCTTAGCCGTATCCTTCCTGGCCCCGATAGACTGGACCAGGGTTCAGTCCCAGGGCCCCTCCCTTCAGAGCAATAATCTGGTTGGTGGTTGGACGTTCATGAGAGGCCGTGCTCAGTTCAGGTTTATCTCCTCCAGGTTCTAAGCTTCCTCTACACTCAGTATAGTAGGAGCTATTGTGAGAGGGGAGGTTGAGGTCCA